TCAAGCCCGTCCAAAGTGGAGTGGTGGTTAATTTCCGTGGGAATGGTGCAGCGCAGTTTTCCCCAAAGACTAATCAGTGGAAAGCCAGTAATCTAGGGATGTGCACACCTCCTCCAGCCGCTTGTAAAGCGGGCTCCAGTCACCCAGAAATAATGCCACTAACTAGTCATAGGGAATGAAAAAATGCCGAGAAAGTACGAAACTTTTCCTTGTGGTGTATATATATATGTATATATATACACACATATACCAACAATTTAAACACTTCTAGCCGCAGATTGAAAACGACAAAAGAAAGATTGTGATACACCTTTATCCTGGGGGCACACTTAACCCTAACAGACCCTGGTTTAATAATGCAGGGAGGGTGGAAAGAAAGGATGTTTATTCCAGAAATTTGATATTGGTCCCAAGCTACAAAAGTGTGAACATCAACCATAAAACTTAATCATCTGCTGACAAGTCTCACTGCTTTCACTGTAATGTCAACAATATGGGTTTAAATAGATACTTGTGAAACGCTGATTTAATTCCACAGCCAATTCCTAGTACATTTAGTACAAACTCATTTCTGAAGTCAACTAATGCTTTTTTAAAAATTCTGTAGTATATTATTCCTGTAATTGGATATGAAAAAATTTTTAATATCTCGAGAAAAATTGACACCTCTCCAAAAATATATATTTTAGAAGGAAAGCTGGGGAGGGAAAATGAAGCAATAGACTAAGGGGTTAACAGGTGTAACTAGGGTGAAGGTGCCTTGTGATTCTCAGAAGAATGAAATCAAAAGAATGAAATCCAAAGAGAGAGGGTAAAGCAATAGTCTAATGGGTTGACAGGTGTTAACTTGGGTGAAAGAGTCTTGTGATCCACAAGGCTGAGAAATCAAAGGAGGGTAAAGTAAACAGTAGGGTAGATTGAAAAGTAATTTAAACTGTGGAAGACAAAATTGATGGTCAGCAATGTAAACCCACACCTAATTCATAATTTTAAAAATCTCTAAGTAAAAAAAATTTAAGAAAAATATATGTATGCAATTTGATCTTTCTCATTCTTCTGTTTCAGTGTTTGTAACAGTGCCCAGCAGATCATGGATTCTGAGTAATTGTTTGACAAATAACGAATCAATGGACATTTCCAAATTTAATGTAGATGTATCTCTAACCAAAACTGTTTGGCTTTAGTTTAGAATGTTTGTATTTAACCTAGAGTGAGTCTGGATGTCATAATGAGCACCTTTTTGATATAATGCCATCCTTGTTCTTCTATAATTAGTAAACATGAAAAAGCTTAATAACTGTTTCTGGCCTTTTATTGATGGCACACTGGACCATCAGCATAAATTCCTACCATCATTTTTTTGTACAACAGTTTTATTGACATAAAAATCATACATCATATAATTCAGTAGCCTACCATCATTTTAAAGAGAATTTTAAAAATTGCTTTGGGTTATCTCGAATACTTATTTGGCTTACATCACATCCTTGGAAATAAATTTTAATTATTATGTGCCATTCAGGTATAAAAATCACAGGTATCATCATATTTTTAAACTTCAGTTATTGCTTACCACAAATATAAAAAGGTAGCTTGACCCTCTTGGAAAGTGATGCAAAAGCTGTATTTTTTTAATTCCAAGCATCCAATCAAAACCAAACACTGCCAGCAAGTCAATCCTACTCATAGTGACCCTATAGGACAGGGTGGAATTACCCCTGTGGTTTTTCCAGACTGTAAATCTCTACCCACTCGGCTTTCAAAGTAGAGATTAAGAAGTAAAAAAATAAGTAATAATTTTAGTAGGAAGCTTGCAACAATACTTATAAAGGGACATTTGAATGTTTTCCTGTTTGTTTTGCTTTGTCTTGTTTGTTTTTGAAACAACTGCCTGCTGCTTCCAACAACTGTGTGTGTTCCAGAGGTTCATTGGTTGCTTGAACATGTTGCTATGGCTGGGTGGCCTTATTTACAGGACACTAAAAATTCCATCCCCTGCCTAAACCGCCCAGGTGAATTTTTATATTAAAGGAAATAAATGAAAGCAAAGAATAAAATACAAATTTGAGTTATAGGAGATTGAATGAAATCCTACTAGGAAAATATTTTGAGTATTTTCAAATACAGTAGGGTT